ACGAGATAACCTCTCCCTCTTACGAGATAACCTCTCCCTCTTACGAGATAACGTGAGCACCCGGCACCGGAGTCTATGGGGGTGGTGGGGGGGAGTTTATGGGGTTGGGGGGGGGGTCTATGGGGGTGGGGGGGAGTCTATGGGGGTGGGGGGGAGTCTATGGGGGTGGGGGGGAGTCTATGGGGGTGGGGGGGGGAGTCTATGGGGGTGGGAGTCTATGGGGGTGGGGGGGGGGAGTCTATGGGGGTGGGGGGAGTCTATAGGGGTGGGGGGGAGTCTATAGGGGTGGGGGGAGTCTATGGGGGTGGGAGTCTATGGGGGTGGGGGGGGAGTCTATGGGGGTGGGGGGAGTCTATACGGGTGGGGGGGAGTCTATAGGGGTGGGGGGAGTCTATGGGGGTGGGGGGAGTCTTTGGGGGTGGGGGGAGTCTATAGGGGTGGGGGGAGTCTATAGGGGTGGGGGGGAGTCTATGGGGGTGGGGGGGAGTCTATGGGGGTGGGGGGAGTCTATGGGGGTGGGGGGGAGTCTGTAGGGGTGGGGGGAGTCTATAGGGGTGGGGGGGAGTCTATGGGGGTGGGGGGAGTCTATGGGGGTGGGGGGAGTCTATAGGGGTGGGGGGAGTCTATAGGGGTGGGGGGAGTCTATAGGGGTGGGGGGGAGTCTATGGGGGTGGGGGGAGTCTATGGGGGTGGGGGGAGTCTATGGGGGTGGGGGGAGTCTATAGGGGTGGGGGGGGGAGTCTATGGGGGTGGGGGGGAGTCTATGGGGTGGGAGTCTATGGGGGTGGGGGGGAGTCTATGGGGATGGGGGGGAATCTATGGGGGTGGGGGGGGGGGAGTCTATGGGGATGGGGGGGAATCTATGGGGTGGGGGGGGGAGTCTATGGGGTGGGAGTCTATAAGGGTGGGGGGGGAGTCTATGGGGGTGGGGGGGGAGTCTATGGGGATGGGGGGGAATCTATAAGGGTGGGGGGGGAGTCTATGGGGGTGGGGGGGGAGTCTATGGGGGTGCGGGGGGGAGTCTATGGGGGTGGGGGGGGAGTCTATGGGGGTGGGGGGGGGAGTCTATGGGGGTGGGGGGAGTCTATAGGGGTGGGGGGAGTCTATAGGGGTGGGGGGAGTCTATAGGGGTGGGGGGAGTCTATAGGGGTGGGGGGAAGTCTATGGGGGTGGGGGGAGTCTATGGGGGTGGGGGGAGTCTATGGGGGTGGGGGGAGTCTATAGGGGTGGGGGGGGGGAGTCTATGGGGGTGGGGGGGAGTCTATGGGGTGGGAGTCTATGGGGGTGGGGGGGAGTCTATGGGGATGGGGGGGAATCTATGGGGGTGGGGGGAGGGAGTCTATGGGGATGGGGGGGAATCTATGGGGTGGGGGGGGAGTCTATGGGGTGGGAGTCTATGGGGGTGGGGGGGGAGTCTATGGGGGTGGGGGGGGAGTCTATGGGGATGGGGGGGAATCTATAAGGGTGGGGGGGGAGTCTATGGGGGTGGGGGGGAGTCTATGGGGGTGGGGGGGGAGTCTATGGGGGTGGGGGGGAGTCTATGGGGGTGGGGGGAGTCTATAGGGGTGGGGGGAGTCTATAGGGGTGGGGGGGAGTCTATGGGGGTGGGGGGAGTCTATGGGGGTGGGGGGAGTCTATGGGGGTGGGGGGGAGTCTATGGGGGTGGGGGGTGTCTATGGGGGTGGGGGGAGTCTATGGGGGTGGGGGGGAGTCTATGGGGGTGGGGGTGGAGTCTATGGGGGTGGGGGGAGTCTATGGGGGTGGGGGGGAGTCTATGGGGGTGGGGGGGAGTCTATGGGGGGGGGGAGTCTATGGGGGTGGGGGTGGAGTCTATGGGGTGAGAGTCTATAGAGGTGGGGGGAGTCTGTAGGGGTGGGGGGGAGTCTATGGGGGTGGGGGGAGTCTATGGGGGTGGGGGGGAGTCTATGGGGGTGGTGGGAGTCTATGGGGGTGGGGGGAGTCTATAGGGGTGGGGGGGGGAGTCTATGGGGGTGGGGGGGGAGTCTATGGGGGTGGGGGGGGACTCTATGGGGGTGGGGGGGGAGTCTATGGGGGTGGGGGGGAGTCTATGGGGGTGGGGGGGAGTCTATGGGGGTGGGGGGGAGTCTATGGGGTGGGGGGGAGTCTATGGGGGTGGGGGGGAGTCTATGGGGGTGGGGGGGAGTCTATGGGGGTGGGGGGGAGTCTATGGGGGTGGGGGGAGTCTATAGGGGTGGGGGGAGTCTATGGGGGTGGGGGGAGTCTATGGGGGTGGGGGGAGTCTATGGGGGTGGGGGGGAGTCTATGGGGGTGGGGGGTGTCTATGGGGGTGGGGGGAGTCTATGGGGGTGGGGGGGAGTCTATGGGGGTGGGGGTGGAGTCTATGGGGGTGGGGGGAGTCTATGGGGGTGGGGGGGAGTCTATGGGGGTGGGGGGGAGTCTATGGGGGGGGGGGAGTCTATGGGGGTGGGGGTGGAGTCTATGGGGTGAGAGTCTATAGAGGTGGGGGGAGTCTATAGGGGTGGGGGGGAGTCTATGGGGGTGGGGGGAGTCTATGGGGGTGGGGGGGAGTCTATGGGGGTGGTGGGAGTCTATGGGGGTGAGGGGAGTCTATAGGGGTGGGGGGGGGAGTCTATGGGGGTGGGGGGGGAGTCTATGGGGGTGGGGGGGGACTCTATGGGGGTGGGGGGGGAGTCTATGGGGGTGGGAGGGAGTCTATGGGGGTGGGGGGGAGTCTATGGGGGTGGGGGGGGGAGTCTATGTGGGTGGGGGGGAGTCTATGGGGGGGAGTCTATGGGGGGGAGTCTATGGGGGTGGGGGGGAGTCTATGGGGGTGGGGGGGAGTCTATGGGGGTGGGGGGGAGTCTATGGGGGTGGGGTGAGTCTATGGGGGTGAGTCTAAGGGGGTGGGGGAAAGTCTATGGGGGTGAGTCTATGGGGGTGGGGGGGGGAGTCTATGGGGGTGGGGGGGGGAGTCTATGGGGGTGGGGGGGGAGTCTATGGGGGTAGGGGGGAGTCTATGGGGGTGGGGGGGAGTCTATGGGGGTGGGGGGGAGTCTATGGGGGTGGGGGGGAAGTCTATGGGGGTAGGGGTGAGTCTATGGGGGTGGGGGGGAGTCTATGGGGGTAGGGGGGAGTCTATGGGGGTGGGGGGGAGTCTATGGGGGTGGGGGGGAGTCTATGGGGGTGGGGGGGAGTTTATGGGGTAGCGGGGGAGTCTATGGGGGTGGGGGAGAGTCTATGGGGGTAGGGGGGAGTCTATGGGGGTGGGGGGGGAGTCTATGGGGGTGGGGGGGAGTCTATGGGGGTGAGTCTATGGGGGTGGGGGGGAGTCTATGGGGGTGGGGGGGAGTCTATGGGGGTGGGGGGGAGTCTATGGGGGTAGGGGGGGAGTCTATGGGGGTGGGGGGGAGTCTATGGGGGTGGGGGGGAGTCTATGGGGGTGGGGGGAGTCTATGGGGGTAGGGGGGAGTCTATGGGGGTGGTGGAGAGTCTATGGGGGTAGGGGGGAGTCTATGGGGGTGGTGGGGGAGTCTATGGGGGTGGGGGGGAGTCTATGGGGGTGGGGGGGAGTTTATGGGGGTAGGGGGGAGTCTATGGGGGTGGGGGGGAGTCTATGGGGGTGGGGGGGAGTCTATGGGGGTGGGGTGAGTCTATGGGGGTGGGGGGGGAGTCTATGGGGGTGGGGGGAGTCTATGGGGGTGGGGGGGAGTCTATGGGGGTGGGGGGAGTCTATGGGGGTGGGGGGGAGTCTATGGGGGTGGGGGGGAGTCTATGGGGGTGGAGGGGAGTCTATGGGGGTGGGGGGAGTCTATGGGTGTGGGGGGGAGTCTATGGGGGTGGGGGGGAGTCTATGGGGGTGGAGGGGAGTCTATGGGGGTGGGGTGAGTCTATGGGGGTGGGGGGGGGAGTCTATGGGGGTGAGTCTATGGGGGTGGGGGGGTGAGTCTATGGGGGTGGGGGGGGGAGTCTATGGGGGTGGGGGGGGGTCTATGGGGGTGGGGGGGAGTCTATGGGGGTAAGGGGAGTCTATGGGGGGGAGTCTATGGGGGTGGGGGGGAGTTTATGGGGGTGGGGTGAGTCTATGGGGGTGGGGGGGAGTCTATGGGGGTGGGGGGGAGTCTATGGGGGTGGGGGGGAGTCTATGGGGGTGGGGGGGAGTCTATGGGGGTAGGGGGGAGTCTATGGGGGTGGGGGGGGAGTCTATGGGGATGGGGGGGAGTCTATGGGGGTGGGGGGGGAGTTTATGGGGGTAGGGGGGGAGTCTATGGGGGTGGGGGGAGTCTATGGGGGTGGGGGGGAGTCTATGGGGGTGGGGGGGGAGTCTATGGGGGTGGGGTGAGTCTATGGGGGTGGGGGGGGAGTCTATGGGGGTGGGGGGAGTCTATGGGGGTGGGGGGAGTCTATGGGGGTGGGGGGGAGTCTATGGGGGTGGGGGGGAGTCTATGGGGGTGGGGGGAGTCTATGGGGGTGGGGGGGAGTCTATGGGGGTGGGGGGGAGTATATGGGGGTGGAGGGGAGTCTATGGGGGTGGGGGGAGTCTATGGGGGTGGGGGGGAGTCTATGGGGGTGGGGGGAGTCTATGGGGGTGGAGGGGAGTCTATGGGGGTGGGGGTGAGTCTATGGGGGTGGGGGGGGGAGTCTATGGGGGTGAGTCTATGGGGGTGGGGGGTGAGTCTATGGGGGTGGGGGGGGAAGTCTATGGGGGTGGGGGGGGGGGTCTATGGGGGTGGGGGGGAGTCTATGGGGGTAGGGGGAGTCTATGGGGGGGAGTCTATGGGGGTGGGGGGGAGTCTATGGGGGTGGGGTGAGTCTATGGGGGTGGGGGGGAGTCTATGGGGGTGGGGGGGAGTCTATGGGGGTGGGGGGGAGTCTATGGGGTGCCAGGGGGAGTCTCTACACTGCCGCTTTAAAAATTACCCTAGCCCCGCCCCTCACACCCCTCCCTCCCCCCTGGGCCGTGACGTCACCCCCAGTATATATAGGCGGCGCGCACGTGTGCGGCACCGGCGTCTCGCGTTCTCGGCGGGACTCGGCAGCGCGTCTCCAGCGCCACCTCGGAGTCAGCGGGGCAACCACGATGAAGCGGCCTTCTCAAGCCGCGTGCCCCACCGCCACCACCACCACAGCAGCCGGCAGCATCGCCACGCCACCACCGCCGCGTCTCACGGGGCACATCAAGAGGCCCATGAACGCGTTCATGGTGTGGGCTCAGATCGAGAGGCGGCGGCTGATGGAGCTCTCTCCCGAGATGCACAACGCCGAGATCTCGAGGCGGCTCGGCCGCCTCTGGAGGCTGCTGGGAGACGCCGAGAAGAAGCCCTTCGTTCGCGAGGCGGAGCGCCTGCGCGCTCAGCACATGGCCGACCACCCCGACTACAAATACCGACCACGCAAGCGGGTCAAGGCTCAGCCTCCCGCTCCACAGCTGCCTCCTCATCCTCCTCATCCTCCATCGTCGTCATCTCAACGCCTTCCTGCACACCAACCTCGCCACCATGCGCCGCCGCCTCCGCCGCCCTCTGCCGCAAGAGCAAAGGCAGCGGCAGCGGCGGGGGGAGGGGGAGCAGGAGCAGGAGGCGGTGCGAGGAAGCGCGCCTTGACCCACGTGCAGTCGTCCTCCTCCTCCTCCACTGGGAGCAGCCGCAGTCGGGCCGCCACTGCCACCACGAGGTCGAGGCCGCAGAGGCCGTCGTCGTGGTCGGGAGGAGGCCCCGGACTGTGCGAGCAGGCGGCGAGGCACGGCGGCGCCAGGATGGAGGAAGACCCTCCTGGTGGTGGTGGTGATGGTGGTGAAGGTGATGGAGCTGCGCTCATGTCGGGCAGCAGGAGCCGTGGCTACGCGGGCAGCAGCTGGTACGAGCTGGACAAGGAGAAAGTCGTGGAGGAGGAGGAGAAGGAGGATGAAGAGGAGGAGGAGGAGATGGGGTGTCGAGACGTGCAGTTGCTGGGCTCGCTGGACCGAGACGTGGACTCGTTGAGCGAGAGCAGCAGCGCGTCTCACTTTGACTTCCCCGACCTGCGCTCTCCCGAGATGAACGAGATCCTCTCCGGCTCCCCCTGGCTCGAGTCCAGCTTCTCCAGCCTCGTGTTCACGTACTGAGTCGTCCCACCAATGTGTGGGCACGTCTGTCTGTGTGTGCTGGCCACACCGCCTCGTACGCCGTGCCGGCCTTCACAGGTGCTCGCTTAACAGCACTGGTCCCAACATCACGACAACGCTGCATGGGGGATCTTTATCTTTTGTGTGTGGTGATGCGGTTGGCGACCTCTGTTCGATTCCATTTCACGAACAACCCCAGTGACCATTATCTGAACCGGTCCTGGGCCTCTCCTAGGTCGACTCGGCCTCAAATGAGTACCTGGTGTGTGTAAACGCCACTGGGGAGACAAAGGCGGTCGGGCGTGGTGCTGGCCACCCACCCCCTCGTGTGGCGTTCCAGCCTTCTTCGGAGCAACTCCAACTTGCCCCTACATTCTGAGGCTATACGGGGGATTTTGTATGTGTCTAGAGCGGTGGCGTGGTGGTTAGCGCACTGCTCCGAACCAGCCCAACGTCAGTATCCATTGTGGTTGTCTAAAATGATTCGCTCATGTGCGCGTCTTTAAACTGTTACAAAAGTCGAGTGGCTTATTTTGAATGCGCCCGTAAAGGCGAATTGCTTTACATTGGGTTGAGATTCAACGTTTTTGAAATATATATACCAAGGTCTCGATGTTTTGAATATTTGCATATCGAAATCTACGCCAATTCATTTTCAAACATGAGTTGATTTTACGTTTTTAAGCAATTGTACTTATGTATATACTATATGGTAACCACTTAGTGGACACAATCGGTGCGAGTTATCTGGACCTGCACCTCTCCGAGGTCTCCTGAGACTTAAATGAAGTATATGGTGTGTGTGTGTGAAGACCAACACGGGGGAGACAAAGGCGTACGGGTATGGGGTGGACCACACCACCCTATTTGTGCGCTGTATCTGCCTTAATAGGTGTTCGCTAACGGCACTTGTCCCAACAGTCTATCAATGACTTTGACGTTACACACGCGCATATACAACCCAATTTTTCATTCGACAGCTGGATTAGGGCCTCCCTGGATCTGTCGTATATTTGAGCATACTTCCCCACGCTGGTCCGTGCGTGTTGGTTAATGGGGGGCAGTAGAGCATCGGGAGCATCGAAGTACGAATCGTCATCTGCCGCCTAGAGGTCTTGCACGTGGAGCGTCCTAAACAATGGTCCATCTCTCGTGACGATGTGGGATTGACTGAGCATTACTTAAACAGGGTCGTTAACCTTCATCGCCTTTTTGATGTGTGTGGAGTCTGTGGTTGCATATCTGTCCCTCGTGTGATGGAGGATCCGGCCATGGTGACGCTGGCTCATTCCGGGCCCAGAGTAGAATGGGTCTTAGTGGGGTGACCGCCACCCCCTCCTAGTGAGATGACGGGGGAGTTGTAGACAAGAGACGGCGTTGTCTCGAGATCTGAGAAATGTAAGCAAACGTAGAGATGCGGTTCAAATGAGAGGCAGATGAGGTCGCGGTTAGCGAGACTATGGCTTCTCCTATGTGAATAAGCTCGCTTTGTTGATCACATTAAGGTTTCAATGTGAGCTGATGTTTGGTGCATCCTTACGTTTTTCATTCGCCCCGGGCCCCCCACCCCCTTGAGCTACTTGGGGCACGCAGCATATGCTTCGTTTCTTTCTGCCCAGCGCCGCCACTGGCCATGTGAAGTTGGCGATACCACTCGGGGGCCCCCGGCTGAGATGAGCGAGCCCATTGAGTAGACCGAGATGATGACTCCTTGACTTTGGGGAAAGTACATCAACAGGACCGTATCTTTGTCCTATTTGCATTCAAGGTTGTGTACAGATATTTACATATTCGCAGTGTTAATGGTTGTGATTTTTTTTAAACCACATCTCTGCTTTATTGATGTCATGGATTGTTCGATATTGTACATTCACTTATAAATACCATAAACGGAGTGCCTCAATGTTGTCACGACCCCATGTGTGTATGCAGTGTATGTGATGTAAGCGACACTGCCCATAGGTGAACGCGACTACATATTGGTCGATCGAAATAAATGGGTAAGTTGCCCATGCAGAGTCTGAACAGGGCCAGTCATGTACAGTACAAAAGATGGTCCATAATATCGGCGTTTGGGTTAGATTGCGTAAATACAAATGTGTCGTTAAACCCACCACCACCCGACACGGCCAATTAGTAAGGTTTGTCACGTAAAGAAAACATGCCAATTTGTTACTAATACAGCACACCGGTCTGTTGGAGAGTAAAGCCCACAACATATACCATTCGAGTACGACGTTTCGCCAGTAATTACAACAGCATCATCAGGCGGACAGCCAAAAGATGGTGTTGGTAAAGGTGCAGCCTTGAAACTGCTCGCTCATGTCGTTGCTAGTAGAAGGGCCTACACTCGAGGCAGCTGTCGAGAGCTGATTGGCTTACCGGTGTGTTAGTAAACCCACAGCGTTCACAATTTAATTCCGACGTTTTGCTGGTCATTGCTATCCGCATCATAAGGCGATTTACCGATTCCGGCAACACACCGATGTGCTTAAGTAGTAACGAATTGTCACGATTTGTTCTAGTGACAAACCTTACTAATTCCACGTGTCGTGTGGAAGTGGATGGTACAACACGTTAACATCTACGCAATCTACCTGAAAAATTACTTGCCCATGAATAATGTTGGTCGCGAAAGCCCACGCCTTTAAATTGTGGCGAATCCGTTCATGCTGCTGGGTGGATGAAGGCGGTGATGGGGATTGAGAAACTCGCCTCCATCGTTGCAACGGCAGCGGTGGGAAATGAAATCAACCCGTCGACCTGGCATCAGCGCGCTGCTCACCACTGCACCGCTGTGGCAGCCGTCCCAAGACCTATTGAGTGCATTCACCGACCCTTATAAGCGGCGTGCTTGTCCAAGAAGCACGATTGTGATGTACGTCTCTGCTCTGGGCCATTGCTTATTGCTCTCGGAACACGGAGACCGCGCGCACCTGCACATACCAACCAGCGAGAGCTCGTCCGCTGCAGCCTGCCCAGCTGCCGCGTGGAATGCGGTGCTGATAATGCGAACCAGATCCGTGGTAAATATCCAGAATCCCGCGGCGATGCGGTGTTCCGCTCCGGGGTTTATAAATCCCTTGCCGCAGGTCCAGCCAGAAGAGGTGGCGCCGACGAGCGTTTGTGTGCGACTGCGTCTTGTACAGACGGTGGGTCGAGAGGAATCGCTCTTCCCCCCCTCCCCCCATTCCCATGGCTGCCCGGCGCGGCTCACGACGCGCTACGTAATCTTTTTCCTCTGCAGAGGTCGAGATGTGCTGTCAACGTCACGCGGAACAAACGAGTCGCATGTAGGTGACGCGATGTTCTTGCAGTTTTGTCGACTGACGTCACAATTATAAAAATAATTAACTCCGCCCCTGGCCCTGCTTGGCCCCGAGCCAGATTCAGATGTCTTGTCCCATGAGATGCACTGCGCTGGCTCGGATCGGATATGCCAGGCTACAATGGGTATCAGGACTTTTAATCGATCCTCATGGCTGCGTTACACAACTTGCATCGGGCTAAAACTTTTTTTTGCTGTATAATGGCTTATCGGTGTAAATTGTACTATAAAGGCAGATGGGGTAATGCGTGTGCAGGACAGCGTCGCATATCCGACCGCCTGGGGTGAGCACCGCGCTTGTGTCCGCACCGCGCCACCCTCCGGAGTTCCCTGCTGTTGATGGACACTTACACGCCTCCACTCCCTAGTTCACTGTCTGGTCTCTTTAATCTCTCTCTCCCCGGTTCCTTCTCGCCCTTTTCCCCTCCTCGACACGCGCGGCGCTCTTGAGATCCACTGGTGAAGGACGACTTGCACAGTACATCCAAACTACGATGAAGTGGAAGTGTCGGGAAATGAGTCGACGCGGGGAAGATGCTTGACTGCACTTTAGAAGTGAGCGAGTGTACACGAGACTAAGACCACTCACACAGTTGATCCTTGGGCGAGGGCGGTTAATTGGTAAGTGGTTGAACGTGGCCGTCGGATATGCGACGTCCTGTATTGTATAAGCGGGTTCCGTCTGCGTATAGCTGCAGCTGGCTGGTATTAAATGTCGCGCCGTGCTGTGCGTGTGAGTGGCATCTGCAGCAGATTACAAAACCCTGTTACACGGAGTATTGGACCGAAAAAAACCAGTGCGAAAAATTCGGACGGAATATCGAGATCCGAAATGAACTCAATGCATGCCGCCGTGAATGCGTTCCAGTTGAGCCATTTGTTTTGTTGCGTTCTTGGCAAGGCTGCGACTGGAAAGCAAGCGCAATAGAATGTGTGTGTGTTCCTACAAAAAAGGTATTGAAGGCGGCCCAGAATGAAGTTGATGAAATACAGAGGCGGGCGAAGTGAAATTTGTTGGTGCCAGGTGGCCAGTCAAGAGACCGGGAGCCTCAATTGCAAGAGGGACTCTCGGTCACCAAAATGACAAAATGAAAAAATAAATTTTGTTTAGCGATGGAAGCAAATTAAAATCTGAATAATAACTGCGTCGTCACTAGATAAATAGAACATTTAGCACAATCATAAATCAATGTTAGATAATAGATTGAAGAGCAGGTTTAGAGTCATTTTGGGAAAAAATACTTGATAATGAAAAGTCACACACCCATCTGCCTAAGAATGACGTTTTAATCGACACCAAACTGCCTGTCATGACATATAACGGTTATGAAACATGGTAAATTACTGAACAGTATAGAACAATAATAATAAAAAGTGTCCAACTAGTCACGGAGCAATTTGTGAGAGACGGAGCACATGGACAAGAGGACGCGTGGAGGTGAACGACAAACACTCTTCATAGTCAGGTGGGTTACGGCACGGCTCTGCAAGCGATGGCCTAGACGAGTGGAGTTGCAGCCAAGGAGTGGAACTGGTCAGAGAGCACGTCCTCTGGGGAGATGGAGCGATAACATCAACACGTATGTATTGTACGTTGAACTTCATTCGCACTGTACGTAGCCAACCGTGCGAATCGGAGGTGCATGTGTACAAATACACAGGGCGTGGTGCCGGCCGTCACGGGTGCTCGCTAACAGCACTTGCCCCAACAGTCCGTTACAGGTTAAACGGGGCATCTGTGTCTTTTTGTGTGGATTATTACAAGGCAGGATTGACCATTACTGATGGTAGTGATGGGGCTATGGCTCTAGGTACATGTTGATGAAGGAGGAGAGCATAGAGGCTGGAGTATTGTACGGTACAACAATGATTTTTTTGTTACGTTGCCTTTAGCATGCTTTGACAATAAGAGCAGCATTGTTAGCTGTTAATTATCATTATATGAAGTTAATTTATTGCGAACAACGCGATGGCAAATGTCACCGACTCCATGCGCTATCCAGGCGCTAAACTGCTTAGCTTCCATAATCTGACGAGATCGCATTGCGGGTGAGTTTGTGGTAGGGCGATGTTGTGCGCTTTCACAATCTTCCCGGGAATCTGTGCATTTCCTGAAAATGGGGGACCTAAGGAAAGCGAGCCATGGCTCCCAAGAGGGGAAGGAGGTCTTTGTGAAATTTGAGAGGTGCATGCGCTTTAGAAACGCCATGGCCTCCGGTTCATGCATTGATCTTCACCGTACACCAGGGAATTTAAATGCAGTGCTAGAGTTACTAATGGAAAACCGGTGACATTTTCTCGTCGGGTTTGTGTTTTATTATTCTAATTTAGTTGACGTCATTTGGGTCATAACCGAAACTGCGTGCCTCTGCTAAGCAGTCATATCTTTCCATAGAGTCATTTCAGTTTCCCTGCCGTGTGCAGCAAAGGCAAACGCACCATGCCCGATTGACCAAATCACCCGGGGTGTGTCGGACCGTGTAAGCCAAGCAAGATTGAATCTGGTTATTTGGTTTGCTCCAGGGTCTCTGCTTTCCTCCCATATGAAGCCAGACGCTCTCTGGTGGAATTGGTCTAACATCCCAGTGTGGCAGGACCCTCCTGAAAACGTCTTGAGACTCGGTAAAGATGTATTTGTGTAAATAAAGGACATTGCAGTATTTTTAAAGTTGAGTCGCAGAAATAACCCGATTACGACATACGAATTGCTCCTGTATTCTAAGCATAAGATGGGGGTTCGACTCCAATCCATTAGCTGTGTGAGTCCATATTTATAAGACTTTATTGACATCGGGCACACGTTTGGGGTGCGTGTTCCTTCCGTAGAACTGAGACTTGTCGATGATATTTACCTCGACGGTGACCAGCCCCGCTCCGTCACGCCTGATGCAGGCGAGGACAAGAATCACAGTGGGCGCTGTGCGGATGCCCGTTACCCTTGGCTGCTTCGAAGGTGCGCTAACGGCACTTGTCCCAACAGCCTGTTTAAGGCTATACGGGGGAATCTTTGTCCATTGCGTGGCACGACCTCGAGGCAGTCGGACAGGGCACAGCGAGCAGCGGAGGAGAATTCCAACCACCCAATCTCGACGGGTGGCAACGGACATCCCGGATATGAGAGGCGACACCGGCGGCATTGGCCCTGGCGCAGCGAAGCGAATAGAGGCCGTGTCGTGCGCCTACTCGGCAATGCGTAGCCTGGCACCTCGGCCCCTCTAGCCCGTGTAGAGCAAACACTTCTTTCTGTTTGATGCGACTCGCGATATTTTCTAACCTTTTCAGATTTTATTCAGCTTCCCCAAAAGGGCCGCTGTTGTTTCGTGTGGTTGCGTAATTGCGTTTGTGCTTCCAGCACGTGCTGGTACGATGCTACCAAGACACGTACGGTAACTGCGTGAGTAGGCCCACACAGCGGAACGTTCGGTCGCTCTCAAGAAGCCTGGCTCACCGAACAACTTCAATATGTGTGCGTGTCAGCAAAGTTGGACCCGAGCTATCTCGCCCTAAAGTAAAGAAATCGGCAAGCACAGCGGTGGGAGACGGCCTGCGACGTTTAATTAAAGTGAA